ATTGTCCATTTTTCAGTTTAAAGGATTTGAAGTATTTTGGAAGAGCGATCTACAGTCAAATAGGTTTTTTTTTTTTTTCCTCCTTAATGCATTAAAAGTGATATTAAAAGGATATACAAATAAAATTCTTATAATAATAATTATAATAATAAATAAAAAAAAAACCCACCACCAACACAACACACTATAATTACCTGCTGTGTGCAGTGGTTTTGCACAGAGCAGCCCAGATCCTCCTCTTCCCGGGTCCCACGCTGGCGGTCCAGGCCCCGCCCTCCTGCCTAGTGCCCCCATAGCAAGCAGCTTGCTATGGGGGCACCCAAGCAGGTTGGCTCCCAAGCTGCTGCTTTGCGTGTCCATTCACACACAGAGCCGCAGCTTGGTACCGCCCCCTCACTCTCCTCATGGGCTCACTGGCCCCGATTAAGAACAGCAGGATCCTGCTGCCATCTCTGCCAATGAGGAAAGAGTCCCCGAAGAGAGAAACCAACATGCACATCGCTGTATCGCGATGGCGCTCAGGTAAGTATTAGGGGGGGCTTGGGGGAGAAGGGCTGCTGCACACAGAAGGTTTTTTTTTTACCTTCATGCATATAATGTATGAAGTTAAAGAATAAAAAAAAAACCCAACATCTTTTTATCCGCAAATATATATTGCTCTCCTAAATACTTCAATAAATAAATTATTACCATTAAATTAATTCAAATTATGATACAAAAACTAATAACTAGTTATTTGTATCATAATTTGAATTAATTTAATGGTAATAATTGAATTATTATTTATTGAGAAGTATTTAGGAACGCAACATATATTTGTAGATATTTCCAACACAGTTGTAGTTCTGTGGTTCATGTTTGCAATCTTCTAGTAATTATCACACCTGTGGCTCGCAAGTCACTCTGATTCATCTATATCTTTTTATCTGCGGTTTCTCCCCTCTCCCCCAAATATATACCCGAGTCCTGTATAAATCCAGCGCTGTACTCATCTGCAGATTTTCTCTCCCCTCTCTCACAGACCATCCTGCTGCTGTCAGTGGAATCCAGGGAGCAGAAAGTGGAGAGCGGGGCAAGGCCAAGCCACGCTGTGTATGTCAATGGATACACACAGCTTGGCAGCGAACCTGCACATGTGACACCATAAAAAGGGGCATCCTATGGTGCTATGTGGAGAGGAAGTGGAGCCCACAGCAGGACCCGAGAAGCAGAGGTTCAGGGCCACTCCGTGCATTACCCTAGCATTCTATTCTGGCATAATTATGAGGTTACTGAACAAGACTCACATTAAATCTCCATTTTTTATATTTAGTAATCATCAATATAACACTGAGTTCATGTATACAAGTATGATGAACATGAGCTTACCGAATCCTCCCAATACACTCATCCAGCGAGTTTGTAACCTCCATCAGCCAACCCTGCTTGTGACGCTTTAACAAAGCATTTTCATCAACCTAACAAAAAATTAAATTTTTTTTTTTTTATATTATTATATACTTGAGTATTATGATGTAGTGATTCAGTTCTACATTCCTTCAACCATAAAAGATTCCCAGGGCTTCTAACACACATGCTTTGTGGGCCATCTACATATGAGGGAGCACAAGCAAGTGATTAATCTTTGAATAAAATACTGAACATCGGCTGAAAACACAAATCTATCGTAAACGATCTGATAAGTGACCAGAGAACCCAATATGCGCTTGTTGAGGGTCAGTGTCTCACTAAGTAGTGAAGATTAAAGATGGCAGCCTTAGTGCAAGCAGTTCCCATAGATTTGAGGATACCTCTGCAATAACTCCTACACAGCCCACGATGGCCGCTGCCTTCGCCTGAGCGCCACTCATCCCTCCGAGACCAGACGTGACAAACACCTTCCCAGCCAGATCCTCCAAGCCAAGGTAACGACGTCCAGCATTTAATACGGTCAACTGAAAGAAACAGACAAGACCTATAGAACCTTGCCAACACCCATCTGTTCTTCTATTCGCTGCAGATCTAGCCTACGGAGGTCTGCTACAAAGACACAGCTGAACATCTCAATCACTCTGGGACTTCTTAAATGATAATGTTACTTACCACTGTACCATGCACAATACCCTGCGGGCCAATGTAACAATAGCTGCCTGCAGTCATTTGTCCATACCTGTCAAAAAAAAAAAAAAGTTTTTAAAAAGTTTTTCTATGAAGGAGTTACACTGTAGGTAGGCTATCCAGTTAGAGCCCCCATGGTAGGGCTAAAGTGCTGTGCACAGTCTGAGTCCCCATGGTAAAGCCGAGTACTGTGCAAGGTCTGAGCCCCCCCATTATAAACCCAAGTGATAGCACTTGGATTTATCATGAGGACTCAGACCTGGCCTATCACATGGGTTTATAATTGGGGGGGGGGCTCAGATTTCGCACCCTACATAGCACTTGGATTTATCATGAGGACTCAGACCTGGCCTATGTAAGGTGCAAGATCTGAGCCCCCCTATTATAAACCCAAGTGATAGGCCAGGTCTGAGTCCTCATGATAAATCCAAGTGCTATGTAAGGTGCCAGATCTGAGCTCGCATGGTAGAGCCGAGTGCTCTGCAAGATCTGAGCGTGCCCCCCCCCCCCCACCCCCCACCCATTATAAACCCAAGTGCTATGCAAGATCTGAGCCCCCCCTTATTAAAAACCCAAAATGACAGGCCAGGTCTGAGTCCTCATGATAAACCCAAGTGCTATGCAAGATCTGAGCCCCCCATTATAAACCCAAGTGATAGCCCAGGTCCGAGTCCTCATGATAAATCCAAGTGCTATGTAAGGTGCAAGATCTGAGCCCTCATGGTAGAGCCGAGTGCTCTGCAAGATCTGAGCATGCGCGCCCCCCCCTCATGATAAACCCAAGTGCTATGTAAGGTGCAAGATCTGAGCCCTCATGGTAGAGCCGAGTGCTCTGCAAGATCTGAGCGCGCGCGCGCCCACCCCCCCATTATAAACCCAAGTGCTATGCAAGATCTGAGCCCCCCCCATTAAAAACCCAAAATGACAGGCCAGGTCTGAGTCCTCATGATAAACCCAAGTGCTATGCAAGATCTGAGCCCCCCATTATAAACCCAAGTGATAGGCCAGGTCTGAGTCCTCATGATAACCCAAAGTGCTATGCAAGATCTGAGCCCCCCATTATAAACCCAAGTGATAGGCCAGGTCTGAGCCCTCAAGATAAACCCAAGTGCTATGCAAGATCTGAGCCCCCCATTATAAACCCAAGTGATAGGCCAGGTCTGAGCCCTCAAGATAAACCCAAGTGCTATGCAAGGTGCAAGATCTGAGCCCTGTGGTAGAGCCAAGTGCTGTGCAGGGTCTGAGCCCCCATGGTAAAGCAAAGTGCTGTGCACGGTCTGAACCCATTAAAAACCCAAAAGGGATTAGGCCAGGTCTGAGCCGTCACAATAAACCCAAGTGCTATGTAAGGCCTGAGCCCTTATCCAAAAATGTGATTGCAAAAATGGATTTATTATTGCTGGAAGAAGACACCCTGGACATTTCTAGAACTGGACAGTAATCTCTCCTAACCGTATATACATCGTAGCACTAACGATTTCTGGTAAAGGCTCAGATCCCACACAGCCCTCCCATGGATGTCAATGAGCTGAGAATTTGTGAAAGAGTAAACCACTTTTATAGTGAACTTCTTTAAACTGGTAATCCTCATTGAATAAGGAAATTCTTACCCCAGTAAAGATTGTGAATTTTCCTTGGCATTCATGGGTGGAACCGGATACATCAAGGGTCTGATCTGTCTTATCAGAAATTTTCTTACTTAGCATGTAGCAATTTAAAGCAGCCTATCAGAATAGACCTGTCTGTAATTAGAGTTAGGTAGACACCTCTGATTGGCTGCTGTGGTGTATTTTACACTGTCCTGTAGTAATTGCCAGGACAAGGTCATCCAGGACAAAGATGCCAAACTGTCAGCCTGGTAACAGAAATAAGGTGCCCACATCCCTACAGTAAACCATTGGCCCCAGGGCAGCCACCCCTCCCGCCCACCCATCGTCCGGGCCCTGTCTGTAGTGGCCCCTTTACTATCATGCCAGGTCAGGAAAACAAAGCAGCTGGTGCAATTTGAAGAAAGAAGTTAGAAAAGAGGGAATGTTCTTACATTGTCACACCTAATGCGAACATCCTGTTGTAATCTTTCCTGGAGGAGTAGTTTGGAATCACCTAACAAAAAATATTATTAAATATTTTTTAGGAATAATAATTTTTATTATTAATTCCCATTATACAACAAGGGGAAGGAAATCAAGATGGAAGCTGTGACTTACCATCCCATTGGTGATGACCACCCGCGGAGCTCTAGGGTGACTAGGAAAGAGGCCAAGAGGATGTCCGCTGTACATCACCAGGGTCTGGGGGGGAGGGGATGGGGGGGGGGGGGGGGGGGGGGGGGGGGGGGGGGGGGGGGGAGGGGGGGGGGGGGGGGAGGGGGGGGGGGGGAGAGGAGGGGGGGGGAGGGAGGGGGGGGGAGGGGGGGGGGGGGGGGAGGGGAGGGGGGGGGGAGGGAGGGGAGGGGGAGGGGGGGGGGGGGGGGGGGGGGGGGAGGGGGGGGGGGGGTGGGGGGGGGGGGGGAGGGGGGGGTGGGAGGGGGAGGGAGGGGGGGTGGGGAGGGGGGGGAAGGGAGGGGGGGGGGGGAGTGGGGGGGGGGGGGGGGGGGGGGGGGGGGGGGGGGGGGGGGGATGGGGGGGGGGGGGGGGGGGGGGGGGGGGGGGGGGGGGGGGGGGGAGAGGGGGGGGGAGGGGGGGGGGGGGGGAGGGGGGGGGGGGGGGGGGGGGGGGAGGGGGGGGGGAGGGGGGGGGGGAGGGGGGGGATGGGGGGGGGAGGGGGGGGGAAGGGGGGGGGGGGGGGGGGGGGGGGGGGGGGGGAGGGGAGGGGGGGGGGGGGGGGGGGGGGGGGGGGAGGAGGGGGGGGGGAGGGGGGGGGAGGGGGGGGAGGGAGGGGGGGTGGAGGAGGGGGGTGGAGAGGGGGGAGGGGGGGGGGGGGGGGGGGGAGGGGGGGGGGGGGGGGGGGGGGGGGGGGGGGGGTGAGAGAGAGGGGGGGGAGGAGGGGGAGGGGGGGGGGGGGGGGGGGGGGGGGGAGGGGGGAGGGGGGGGGGGGGGGGGGGGGGGGGGGGGGGGGGGGGGGGGGGGTGGGGGGGGGGGGGGGGGGGGGGGGGGGGGGGAGGGGGGGGGGGGGGGGGGGAGAGAGGGGGAGGGGGGGGGAGAGGGGAGGGGGGGGGGGGAGGGGGGGGGGGGGGGGGGGGGGAGGGGGGGGGGGGAGGGGGAGAGGAGGGGGGGGGGGAAGGGGGGGGGGGGGGGGGGGGAGGGGGGGGGGGGGGGGGGAGGGGGGGGGGAAAGGGGAGAGGGGGGGGGGAGAGGGGGAGGGGGGGGGGGGGGGGGGAGGGGGGGAGGGGAGGGGGGGGGGGGGGGGGGGGGGGGGGGGGGGGAGGGGGGGAGAGAAGAGGGGGGGGAAGGGGGGGGGGGGGGGGGGGGGGGGGGGGGGTAGGGGGGGGGGGGGGGGGGGGGGGGGGGGGGGGGAAGGAGGGGGGGGGGGGGAGGGGGGGGAGGAGAGGGGGGGGGGGAGGGGGGGGAGGGGGGGGGGGGAGGAGGGGGGGGAGAGGGGGGGGGGGAAAAGGGGGGGGGGGGGGGGGGGGAGGTGGGGGGGGGGGGAGGGGGGGGGGGCGGGGGGGGGGGGGGGGGGGAGGGGAGGGAGGGGATGGGGGGGGGGGAGAGGGGGGGGGGGGCGGGGGGTGGGGGGGGAGAGGGGGAGGGGGAGGGGGAGGGGGGAGGGGGGGGGGGGGGGGGGGAAGGGGGGGTGGGGGGGGGAGGGGGGAGAGGGGGGGGGGGAATAAGGGGGGGGGAAAGAGGGGGGGGGGGGGGGGGGGGGGGGGGAGGGAGGGGGGAATGGGGGGGGGAGTAGGAGGGGGAGGGGGGGGAGGGGGGGGGGGGGGGAGAGGAGGGGGGGGGGGGAGGGGGAGGGGGGGGGGGGGGGGGGGGGGGTAGGGGTGGGGGGAGGGAAGGGGGGGGGGGGGAAGGGGGGGAGGGGGGGGGGAGGGGGGATGGGGGGGGGGGAGGGGGGGAGGAGGGGGGGGGGGGAGGGGTGGGGAGGGGAGGGGGGGGGGTGGGGGGGGGGGGAGAGGGGGGGGGGGGGGGTGGGGGAGGGAGGGGGGGGGAGAGGGGGGGGGGGGGGGAGGGGGAGAAGGGGGGAGGGGGGGGGGGGGGAGGGGGGAGGGGGGGGGGGGGGGGGGAGGGGGGGAGGGGGGGGGGGGGGTTAGGGGGGGGGGAGGGGGAGGGGGGGGATGGGGGGGGGGGGAGGGGGAGGGGGGGGGAGAGAGGAGGGAGGGATAGGGGGGGGAGGGAAGGAGGGGGGAGGGGGGTGGGGGGGGAGGGGGGGGGGGGGGGGGAGGGAGGGGGGGGGGGGGGGGGGGGGGGGGGGGGGGAGGGGGGGGAGAGGGGGGGGGGGGGGGGGGGGGGGAGGGGGGGGGGGGGGTAGGGGGGGGGGGAGAGGGGGGGGGGGGGAGAGGGGGGGAGGGGGGGGGGGGGAGGGGAGGGGGGGGGGGGGAGGGGGGGGGGAGTTGAAGGGGGGGGGTAGGGGGGGGGGGGGGGGGGGGGGGGGGGGGGGGGGGGGGGGGGGGGGGGGGGGAGGGGGGGGGGGGAGGGGGGGGGGGGGGGGGGGTGGGGGGGGAGGGGGGAGGGGGGGGGGGGAGGCGGGGGGAGGGAGGGGGGGGGGGGGGGGGGGAGGGGGAGGGGGGGGGGGGGGAGAGGGGGGGGGGGGGGGGGGGGGGGGGGGGGGGGGGGGGGGGAGAGGGGGGGGGGGGGGGGGGAGGGGGGGGGGAGGGGGGAGAGGGGGGGGGGGGGGGAGGGGGGGGGAGGGGGGAGGGGGGAGGGGGAGGGGGCAGGCGGGGGAAAGGGGGGGGGGGGGGGGGGGAAGGGTGTGGGGGGGGGGGGGGGAGATGGGGGAGGGGCGGGGGGGGGGGGGGGGGGGAGAGGGGGGGGGGAGGGGGGGGAGGGGGGGGGGGGGGGGGAGGGGGGGGAGCGGGGAGAGGGGGAGGGGGGGGGGGGGGGAGGGAAAAAGGAGAGGGGGGGGGAGGGGAGGGGGGGAAGGGGGGGGGGGAGGGAGGGGGGGGGGGGGGGGAGGGGGGGGGGGGGGGGAGGGGGGAGGGGAGGGGGGGGGGGGGGCGAGGGGGGGGGAGGAGGGGGGGGGGGGGGGGGGGGGGGGGGGGGGGGGGGGGGGGGGGGGGGGGGGGGGGATGGAGAGGGGGGGGGGGTGGGGGCGGCCTTCTGGGGGGGGTAGGGGAAGGGCTTCTACTGGGGGGGGAAGGCTGCGCAAAAAGCAGATTGGGGGGGGGGCATACCCCATTTCCAGGTAGGGGGGGGGACGGTGGGGTGGTGCCACCCTACTGGCACGCCAGGGGCAGGTAGGGAGGGGGGGGGACTGGGGGCCAGGGGGGGGGGGGGGGTGATCGCTGGGTAAAGGGGACAGGGGAGAGACCTGGGTCTCTTTCTCTGTCGGCGGGACATGCTGGGGTATCTTTCTGCAGAGCAGCATGTCTCCCTAGGGGGGGGACAGCACACATTGTTAACCCTTTGCGGGGGGGATGTTAACCCCTTCCTGCCCGTGGTGCTTAGTACAGGGTTAGTGTGAGGGGCACTGATCAATGGGGACAGGGTGTCACTGGGGGATGTCAGCGGGGGTTAGTCAGTTCCCACCCCAGGGTCAGACATGCCGCTATAAAAGTCGCTGATCATCACATTACTAGTAAAAAAATATAAAAAAAAATCCCCAGTATAAATACCACCATTTGTAGTTGCTATAAACAACTGACACGTATTGCAGAATACATTTTGGCCTAAATTTATGATGAACAACTTGATTTTTTTACTGTACCATGTTCAATTTTGCAAAAAAGTCAAAAAATTGTTTTTTTTCTCAAATATTGTCAGACTTTTTTTGTTTATAGCGAAAAAAAAACAAAAAACACACACAAGAGACCGATCAAACACTGCTGAAGAAAGCTGCATTTTCTGGGGAAAAAAAACCCCATAAAATGTCCGGGTTGTGGGGCAGCACTCCACCGATGGCCATGGGGGGGTCAGTTAAAGTAACGCAGCGCTGGGGGAAGGGGCGGGGGGCCTGGTGGGGGGGGGGGGGGGGGGGGGGGGGGGGGTGGAGGAAATCCTTGGAGAGCAAGTGGTTAAATCATGGGACCACCACCTTTCCCTTTTAGTCTTGCAGTTTTGTACCGGCTCCTCTCCTGGACTGAAATGACTTTACTCCGATTTCACAGGCGCACACCAGGGGCGGGACTGACAACTCATGGGGCCCCTGGGCAATAGGGAACCATGGGGGGGCGGTGTCCTTGCCCACACTCAAAGCACACCCAAAAAAAAAAAAAAAAAAAAAAAAGTGGGGGGGCATTTCATGGGGGGGGGAGGGCACTGACCCGGGGGGGGGGGGCAGTGCCCGAGTGTTCGAATGGTCAGTCACCGCCTCTGCAGCACACTGTGAGCTTCTCACAATGTGCATTAGGAGCTACAGCAAATCAGAGAGTTCTGCCTCATTTGGTGGCTGGAGGACGTCCAGCATCATTTAGGGGGGGGGGGGGGACCTGACTATCCCTTTTTCATTCATTGGATTTCAGTCCTTTCATTCATGGAGGGCTCTGCCAGCCATAATCTGTCTGCTATGCATAGAGACACACAGAGACCGGCAGTGAGTCTAAAATAAGGCATGTATTGAAAATGGAAAAGGGTAGCATTTAAAAATTGAATTAGCATGGCGATGGGGGGGGGGAAGTTGGATTGGTTTGGGCAAACCCATGGTGCAGTGGCCCCTGGGGAGCTGCATCGGGGAACTAGAACCACTTTATACATGGGGGAGGGGACTGGGGGGGGGGGGCAAAGGGGGGGGGGACTGGCCATTAGGTCATATGACCTGGAGGGGGGGGGGGGGGCATAGGCTGACATCAGAGTCTGCATTTTAGATGGGTCATGTGACCCAGGACAGGGACCTCTGCAGGGCCTGCTTAATTATAGCCGACTTGGGGGGAGAGGGGGTAGGGGCGGAACCTAATCTCAGGGTGCCTCCGGTTTAATTATCCCGGGGGGGCAGACTCCCACCAGACCAAAACATGGCAGGGGGGGGGGTAAACGGAGCAAGGGGCAAGGAATCCCAACGCCTGGGGTGCATGGGAGGGGGAAGCGGAGGCTTCCCTCGGCCCATAGGGAGGGAGGATGAGGGGATGACCTGCCTGGGACAAAGGAGAACCTGGCACAATCCCATATGGGGAAACAAACACTAAGGAACAGCCTGCAGTCCTTCAAGAGAAGGGGTCCTGCACCCAGGGGACGGGAATCTACCCTTTCATAGAAAGTCTGCAGGGGGAGGGGAAATTTAGATCGTTTCTTTCACTGTGTCGCGGGGGAGGTATTTGTGTACTGTCCAGGGGCGGACTGACAACTTATGTGGCCCCCGGGCAAAAGGGGATCATGGGGCCCGGGGGTCCTTTCCCAAACTCAAAAAAGCATGGTATAAATAAAAAAAAAAAAAAAAAAAAAAAAAAAAGAAGGGTACCAGGGGCATCTCATGGGCCCCCTACTGACCGGGCAGTGCCCGAGTTTCCAAGGCAGGTCAGTCCGCCCCTGGGGTACTGTCGCTTTAAAGCAAATTTATAGACAAAATATAAAATCTTACATTCATTTCTACATTGTATTCCAATCATTTCTTGCGTATTCATCCGACCAACCTGAAGTCTGTAGGCTTACTAGGTGAAGATCCCACACATTTCCTTCCCTGAGTGACACGTAGTCACTATGCCCTGTGTGGAGGCACTGCTGGTCACACATTTCACAGAGCGCGCCTTCTGAAAGCTACAGGAGGAGGAGGGGGAGGAGTTTCAGGAGGGGGGGGAGTCACACTGCTTGCAGGCAGCAAGGGGTACCAATGGGGATATGTAGTCCTTAGAAATGGAGGAAACTGCAAAGGCATGCTGGGAAACCAAGTTGTGGAAAACTGAAGCAGCACTCACAACATGAAAGGATTTCTCAAGTAATTGTAAGATTGAGATTGAAGGCGGAGAGAGAAAAAAGGAAAAAAAAAAAAAAAAAAAAAAAAAATAAAGGAAAAGATGCGCTCTTCATAACAGGAGCGATGCGCCTTCTCTTTTTTTTTCTCCCTGCAAAGCAGGGAGTAAAAAATACCGGCAGGGGGGGGGTCGCTTAAAACACCACACATAACACTTTAGATCACCCCTAGATGTTAACCCCTTTCCAGCCAGTGTATATTATTAGCACTGTGTCACTGGAGGAGGTCCAGTGGGACTTAGTCCCCCTAGCCATCGCCCCGGGACTATCACAGTCCAACTATGTTGCTGCTCATTGCCGTATACTAGTATAAAAAAAATAAAAAAAAAATGTATACATCACTCACACACGATTGTAGACACACAACTTTCACACAATCAATATACAATTACTGGGGTTTTTTTTAACCAAAGATATGTAGCAGAGAATACATTTTGGGCAAGAATGTATGAAGAAATAAGTTTTTTTTTTTGGATAGGTTTTATAGCAGAAAGTAAAAAAATATGTCTTTTTTCGTTTCAATCGCCAAAAAAAAAGAAAATTAGAAGAAAAAAAAAAAAAGAAAGACACACCACAGCCTGGTTATGAAGGGGGTAAAACCTTCCAGAGGAAGTGGATATACTTCTATAGTTTGTAGGGGGGGGGAGGCTCTGCAGATCAGTTCCTTGTTACCTCCCTGGGTCTAGATACTTGGAGAAGATTCTAAAAGCAGGGGGTGGGGGTGAGGAGGGGCTGCTCTGCATCCATAAGGGATACTGGCCAATCCCCAAGCAGGAGGCTTGGCATGGGATCAGAGCAGCCTTAAGTGCAACTGAGCCAGCTCAGGAGGCAGGGAGAGTTCGGGTGGAAGATGGAGAAAGAGAGATGCAGGGGGCCTGGGAGGGGGCCCAGTGGGAAGGAGGCCTACCTACAGGCGGAAAGCTGGGAAAGTAGGATTTCTCAGCCCTACCAGCCCCCAGAGCGAGGACCAACTGTAGAGCCAGCCCAGTGGAAGGCCTGGAGGCAGCCACCTACCAACACCAGCTCGCAGGACTGGGCCTGAGTGATTAGTCCTACACCCCCAGGACCAGTTAAGGGGGAGGAAGCACTCTGGTGGGAAGTCCGATTAGCTTCTTCCCGGGACTGTTTCATTTAAAGTGGCAGGCACTGGACTCCCCCAGGCCACTGGATAAAAAGAGGATTATCTCTGAGGTCTGGGGAGGTGGTACACCACAAGAGGGGGGAGAGCTCTCCAAGAAGAGTTTCTGCAGTGTAAAAAAAATTTTGTACAGGGTCGCTAAGGAGTTTGTAATCGTTTTGCAGTTCCATCGGACACCCTACACACCCCTTACCCCATCCAAGTTTAAACTCTGAATGCAAGTCTGTGCAAAATGCGTTTTGCTTGGCTGTGCAGGACTATAGGGGACCAAAATCTTCTCCTCCTCTAAGGGGTAGTGCTACAAGTTGGTACTCCAACTCAGGCAGAACACTGCATGGATCAGTCGTATTACATACCTGTGCCCAGTTGCTGAAGACCTGCCCATTCCCTCCATAGGTCACCAGCTCTTGGGGAAACTGTTACAGGAAAGAAACCAGGAGGCCATCAGCATTAACCAATACAGTTTTAGAGTAAAGGCGGCCATACATGGGGGGGGGGTCAGCTGAGACTTCCCGAATTTCAAGCCATGTAGGGATAGGAGGTTGTACAGAAGACGGGGGGGATACAAGCAGCCTGTTGGGGGTTTTCGAACTGTGATCAGCTCGTAGGCTATAGCCACAGCACTGATTAGTGTATTCTGACAGTGGGGGAAGTCTCCTATCAGAATACAATGTCTCTGTGGGAAGCCGCCTCTAAAAAAGTGCAAGAAATAGGAGAAAAAAAAAAGGGGGAGGGAAGAGAAAGAAGGAGGAAGGAGAAAAGGAGGTGCGAAGGGGGGAAGGAGGGAAGGAGGGAAGGGGGGGGGGGGGGGAGGGAAGGGGGGGGGGGAAGGAGGGAAGGGAAGGAGGGGGGAAGGGGCGAAGGGGGGGAAGGGGGAAGGGGGCGAAGGGGGAAAAGGGGCGAAGGGGGCGAAGGGGGGAAGGGGGGAAGGGTGCGAAGGGGGGAAGGGGGGGGGGGGGGAAGGGGGGAAGGGGGGGGGGAGGAGGAAGGGGGGAAGGAGAAAGGGAGAAAAGGAGGGGAGGGGGGGGAGGGGGGGAGGAGGGAAGGAGGGGGGGGGGGAAGGAGGGGGGGGGGGGGGGGGGGGGGGGGAGGGGGGGGGAAAGGGGGGAGGGGGGGGGGGGGGGGAAGGGGGCGAAGGGGGGAAGGAGCGGGGGGGGGGGGAGGGGGGGGGGGGGAGGAGGGAAGGGGGAAGGAGGAAGGGAGGGAAGGGGGGGAGGGAGCGAAGGAGGAAGGAGCGGGGGAAGGAGGGGGGGAAGGGAGGGGGGGGGGGGGGGGAGGAAGAAAAAAAAAGGAGAAAAAAAAAAAAGGGGAAGAAGGGGGGGGGGAAAGGAGCGAAGGGAGGGCGAGGAGGAAGGAGAGAAAGGGGGAAGGGGGGAGGAAGGAGGGGGAGGGGGAGGGCAGGGGGAAGGAGGGGGGGAGGGGCGGGGAGAAAGGAGAAGGGGGGGAGCGAAGGAGGGGGGGGGAGCGAAGGGGGGAGGGGGATCGGAGGGGGGGAGGGGAAGGGGGGGGGGGGGCAAAGGAAGAAAGGAGGAAGGGAAAGGGAGCGGGGGAGGAAGGGCGGGGGGGGGGGGGAACGAAGGGAAAGGAGGGAAGGGAGAGGGGAGGAGAAGGAGAAAGGAGCGAAGGAGGGAAGGGAGGGGAAGGAGAAAGGGGCGAAGGGAGGGAGGGAGCGAGGGGAGGCGAAGAAGGCGAAGGGGGAAGGAGGGGAGAGGAGGAAGGAGCGAAGGGGGGGGGGGGGAAGGAGCGAAGGGGAAGGGAGGAAGGAGGAAGGAGCGAAGGAGGAGGGGGGGAAAAAAAAGGGGGAAATAGAAGAAAAAAAAGGAACAAAAAAAAAAAAAGGGCAGAAAGAAGGGGCGGGAAAAAGGAGCGGGCAGGAGCGAAGGGGCGGGGGAGGGGGGACGGAGAAGGAGCGGGGAGAGAAGGAGGGAAGGAGAGAAGGAGAGAAGGATGGCGAAGGAGAGGGGGGAGCGAAGGAGGGAAAGGGAGCGAAGGGGGAAGGAGCGAAGGAGAGGGGGGAGGCGAAGGAGAAGGGGAGCGAAGGAGAAAGGAGCGGAGGAGGGAGCGAAGGGGAAGGGAGCAAGGAGCGTCTTTGTGGAAGCAGCGGCCTCTCTGTAGAAGTCCAACATCCCCCCTAATGAGATAGACCTATAACTCTGCAAAATGCCAAGCTCATACTCCCTGCTGATTAGAAATCTGACTCAAAAGGGAGGGGAGGGGGCGGGGGAGGATCTAATACATCTGCAGAGGGATCACTGCTTCCACACAGAGGAAGGGTCCCACTTTGCAGCATGCTGGCAGGGGACATGCTTTTCTACTCAAGAAGTGGCCGTTTTCTTACTAGAAAAAAAAAAAAAAAAAAAAAAAGACAGTTTTGACACACCTGGAATGTAAGGGAAGAAGTAAAGGTAAAGTAAAAACATAAAATTTCTAAAAAACCATTTACATTGAATTTATACCTGAGCCACGGCTGGATCCAGATTATTCATGATCATGTGCATTATAGCCATCCGCTGCCCTGCTTCGTCTTGCCCGGATACTCCGAGATTGGATACGCCCTGAAAAATATTGCAATCCAGGATTAGGAACGGATTTTTATTGGAGGACATCGGCTGCCCCTGTATGTGCAATGTATGGGCACCCGGTATTAAGGCTTGTACTGCAGGGAGGGGGTCCTTGTCACGGGTCATGACCTAGACGCCCCTAGGAGAGGTTCAAATCAGCCAAAACTAAACTGTCTTGTCAATTGACAGGTGGCTCAGCGTATCCCTCTGAAACTTGTCCATTCATGTCAATGGGGGCCACACCCCACAAGCCATAGAAATGGGGGGGTGGATGGGGGGGGGGGAACAATTTATGAGGCATATGCACCATTGACTTGCATGGCAGAGTTAGACAGGCGATATAGCCTGTCAGTTTGGCATGCCACATTAAATTTGCAGCAAAACAAAGCATCACGGCCGCAGCAGGTTCATTAGCCTACTTTAGCTGCCCCCCCTTTTAGGTGGGCAGATGAACCAAGGCTCAGCCGCCTGTTTTTACTACCGCCCATGTAGAAGAAACCATACTGACAGACAGCATGATAGCCCAACTGCTGCAAGCCAAAGAGACGAGTTTTCTACCATTCATGGAAGGGCCCAATTTGGAATTACCAGGTGTAGAGCTGCCCTCGCAGGAGCCGCTGGATAGGGATGGGTTCTCTGTTCTTTTCTTTGACTTCTTCAAGGACTATGCAGAAGGGAGTCTGATTTTGGACTCTCCAGCTTTAGTAAATAAACCCCTTAGTGTTCAGATCAGCATAAAAAGTAGCAAAGTCACCTAAAAACGCAGCAGTGAGCAGTAATAAAGCGTATTTACCAAACACAGGAACTATACTGCCAAAGTGCATTAATGGCGGACTATGCTAGGCCCAGAACAACTGAATTTGCACGGTCCAAAGAAATGAAGGAAAATAGGAGAAGGGGAACAAAAGGGGGCTTGCAAGATGGTTTTTATGGAAGGGGAGATCCTTTATGATGTTGTTCTGCCGGCTATCGTTGGGGCCCCTTTAAGAAGAGTTGGTGCACTTAACAGTTTTAGTAAACCAGCATACAGAATAGGTGTGTGATAAAGATGCAGTAAAGGTGCAGAACACTTCATGTCCAAGTAACTCAGTTCCTGCTAGTGGCCAGAACAATGAGCCTTAAAAAAAAAAAAAAAAAAAAAAAGCATTCTCGTTATTTGTATTTTAGCTATACTGTATATGCCAGGGGTCCTCAAACTACGGCCCGCGGGCCACATGCGGCCCGTCGAGGTCATTTATCCGGCAGGGGCGGGACAGGAAGGGGACACCAAGTTACAGGGGCGGGCAGGGGCTGCTGTACCTTACCTGGCTCCGGTCCCAGTCCCACGACGATCCAGTCCAGGAAGCGCTGATCCTTCTTTCACTCCCTCACTCCTGATGCCGCTCGGCTCCGCCTCCTCACCGGTGATTGGGCGCCAAAACTGTAGCTCAGGAAAAGGCACACAGGTGGCCAATCACCTGCGAGGAGGCGGAGCCGAGCAGCACAGCGAACATCGAGTGAGGGATGAGGCCGAAGTGAAGAAGGACAGGTAAGTGTGCCGGGCTGATGGTGCTGCTGCAACCCAGGTATGTTGGCTACAGCAGCACCATGCTGGAGCAGGGGTCAGCAAGTTACGTGTCATTGGTGTCAGGGGGAAATAGTGCCCCATCGTTGGTGTCACTGACACCAACGATGGGGCACGATTCCTTCCCCCCCCACTGACACCAACGATGGGGCACTATTCCCCCCCCCCCCCCACTGACACCAACGATGGGGCACTATTCCCCACCCCCCCCACTGACACCAACGATGGGGCACTATTCCCCCCCCCACCCACTGACACCAACGATGGGGCACTATTCCCCCCCCCCCACTGACACCAACGATGGGGCACTATTCCCCCCCCCCCCACTGACACCAACGATGGGGCACTATTCCCCCCCCCACTGACACCAACGATGGGGCACTATTCCCCCCCCCCCACTGACACCAACGATGGGCGCACTATTCCCCCCCCCCCACTGACACCAACGATGGGGCACTATTCCCCCCCCCCCCCCACTGACACCAACGATGGGGCACTATTCCCCCCCCCCACTGACACCAACGATGGGGCACTATTCCCCCCCCCCCCACTGACACCAACGATGGGGCACTATTCCCCCCCCCCGACACCAAGGATGGGGCACTATTCCTCCCACTGACACCAACGATGCGGCACTATTCCTCCCCCCCCACTGACACCAACGATGGGGCACACTATTCCCCCCCCCCACTGACACCAACGAATGGGGGCACTATTCCCCCCCCCCCTCACTGACACCAAGAGACACCAACGATGGGGCACTATTCTTGGGCCCCCCCCCCACTGACACCAACGATGGGGCACTATTCCCCCCCCCCCCACTGACTGGACCAACGATGGGGCACTATTCCCCCCCCCACTGACACCAACGATGGGGCACTATTTCCCCCCCCCCCCACTGACACCAACGATGGGGCACTATTCCCCCCCCCCCCGACACCAAGGATGGGGCACTATTCCTCCCACTGACACCAACGATGCGGCACTATTCCTCCCCCGCACTGACACCAACGATGGGGCACTATTCCCCCCCCCCCCCCACTGACACCAACGATGGGGCACTATTCCCCCCCCCCCCCCCCACTGACACCAACGATGGGGCACTATTCCCCCCCCCCCCCCGACACCAAGGATGGGGCACTATTCCTCCCACTGACACCAACGATGCGGCACTATTCCTCCCCCGCACTGACACCAACGATGGGGCACTATTTCGCTCCGTAAGACATACTGGGGGGAAATGTATGTGCGTCTTATGGAGCCAGCCCTCAGTATTCCCACCACCGTTGTATGTCCGCAGTCCCTGGTCACCCCCTGTACCGTGTCCGCAGTCCCTGGTCACCCCTGTACCGTGTCCGCAGTCCCTGGTCACCCCCTGTACCGTGTCCGCAGTCCCTGGTCACCCCCTGTACCGTGTCCGCAGTCCCTGGTCACCCCCTGTACCGTGTCCGCAGTCCCTGGTCACCCACTGTTACCGTGTCCGCAGTCCCTGGTCACCCCCTGTACCGTGTCCGCAGTCCCTGGTCACCCCCTGTACCGTGTCCGCAGTCCCTGGTCACCCCCCCTGTACCGTGTCCGCAGTCCCTGGTCACCCCCTGTACCGTGTCCGCAGTCCCTGGTCACCCCCTGTACCGTGTCCGCAGTCCCTGGTCACCCCCTCTGTACCGTGTCCGCAGTCCCTGGTCACCCCCTGTACCGTGTCCGCAGTCCCTGGTCACCCCCTGTACCGTGTCCGCAGTCTCCGGTCACCTCCTTAGCATGTACCGTGTCCGCAGTCTCCGGTCACCTCCTGTACCGTGTCCGCAGTCTCCGGTCATCTCCTGTGTACCGTGTCCGCAGTCTCCGGTCATCTCCTGTACCGTGTCCGCAGTCTCCGGTCATCTCCTGTACCGTGTCCGCAGTCTCCGGTCATCTCCTGTACCGTGTCCGCAGTCTCTGGTCATCTCCTGTACCGTGTCCGCAGTCTCTGGTCATCTCCTGTACCGTGTCCGCAGTCTCTGGTCATCTCCTGTACCGTGTCCGCAGTCTCTGGTCATCTCCTGTACCGTGTCGCAGCAGTCTCTGGTCATCTCCTGTACCGTGTCCGCAGTCTCTGGTCATCTCCTGTACCGTGTCCGCAGTCTCTGGTCATCTCCTGTACCGTGTCCGCAGTCTCTGGTCATCCCCCTGTACCGTGTCCGCAGTCTCTGGTCATCCCTGTTACCGTGTCCGCAGTCTCTGGTCATCTCCTGTACCGTGTCCGCAGTCTCTGGTCATCCCCTGTACTGTGTCCGCAGTCTCTGGTCATCTCCTGTACTGTGTCCGCAGTCTCTGGTCATCTCCTGTACTCTGTCCGCAGTCTCTGGTCATCTCCTGTACTGTGTCCGCAGTCTCTGGTCATCTCCTGTACTCTGTCCGCAGTCTCTGGTCATCTCCTGTACTGTGTCCTCATTGGTTCATAGTGTTTTGTTTTTTTTTTAAACTATAGTCCGGCCCTCCAACAGTCTGAGGGACAGTGAACTGGCCCCCCCCGTTTAAAAAGTTTGAGGACCCCTGGTATATGCAGTCATTTTACTTTGAAGCGTTCAAGGATTTGTGTCCTGTCAGGGGGGCCAATTTACAATTATAAGGGGAGTCACCTCATGCGGATGTTGGGACAGAAGCGGTACATGTAGACGTGGCCAAAACTCCGTAGCTCATCCACAAATTCTGGAGCCAAAATCCCATGATGTTCTGGGGGGAAATATCGCAAGGCGTTCTCCAGGGCGAGCTAAAATGGTGAATAGAATATAAAACAGCTAGATTAACAGCGCAATAAACACCAACAACAATGAAACATCTGCGTGTGCCGAATGAAGACTTCTGCTGTTTACTAGCTGTATATACAGTACACACACACACAATCATATAATAAATCTAAAATGATATAACAAGACAACTATGAATAAATAATAATAAATATGTTTTTATTAGAAAGTGTGTAGGGGAAAAAAAATAAAGAAAAAAATAAAAATAATAATATATATATATATATATATATATATATATATATATATATATATATATATATATAATATATATATATATAATTTTATTTTTTTTTTATATTTTTCCCCCCCCAATTTCTAATAAATCTTAATTATATTATTTTATTTGTAATATAAAATATGTGCGGAAAAAAATATGTATTAATTTGTGGTAGGTATATTATTAAAAAAAAATATTAATATAATACAGAATTTAATATGTAAGGTACAATATATAGGTTATATCTACATACTGTAAATTATAAAAATATATACACTGTGTATGCCTCTGCATGTCACCACTGTTTAAAGGGTCTGTTACAAGCAAGAGGTCTTCCACTGACCCCCTTATTTTTAGTCTCGGTGCTTCTCTATGC